GGCCAGGTCCCGCTGCTCGGGCGGGCGCAGCGGCGGCGGCGGCGGAGGGGAGGCCACAGCCAAGCGGGCAGCCGCGCTCAGGGTGGCGACGCAGGATGCGAGAGCGGTGCGGAAGGTCCGGCTGGGCCGAGCGGCGCCCCGAAGGAGGGAGATACCCGGCGTGGGGGAGCTGAGGGACCTGAACGGTGCCGCAGGACCTGCAAGCAAACGCCCGTCCCAAGGAAGCAGCGCGGCTGGACGTACCCCATCAGGAATTCTCATACACGAAATTCTGGGAGACTGTCATGAGAGAAAGTGTTGTCAAAAGTTGTGATTGATTATTTTAGTTGAATTTCATTTCATTATTTGCTGGTACGTGATGTGGGCAGGTAGCAGTCGGACTTCATGTAGTTCATGCTTAGTTCAAAAAGCGTACAGACCGAGGCCTCTTCTTGCTGACAGTTCTGCTCATCACAGGCCCTTCGCCGTTTCATAATATTGAGCTATGGCCTGCAGTCTGTTGTTCACCCCCAGACAGCTGAGTGACCCATGTCATGGCTGGAAATTCAAAGCCAGCTCTACACTTCCATTCCATGGAGCAGAGGATGACCCATTGACTTAACTGCTCAACTAAAACATGTTGACACACATTGCCTGTTTCTTGATGTTTAGGGCTCTAGTAAAACACCAGAGTTTTGCCAAAGTCCTCAATCTGTACAATAACATGTACATCTTAAAGGTCTGGGAGTTTTAGGAAATACAGCATATTATGGAAAACATAAAACGCTCCACTGTGTTCTTAGCTGTTTGCTAAAAAGTACTACAGATGATAGTCAATTACCTGTAATAATTAGTATATCATATATAGACTTTATCTTCTAGACTACATGTCGAGCAACTGTAAATTCTAAAAATGTTACTTTTGGATACTGAGCATGATAATCCAATGCATAATTTCCCTTATGTATTTAAAGAATTTTATTCCAGTGCTGGATTGTGAATTTAAAGATCCTTCGTTAGCAGTGTAAGCCCTTTAATGACAGTAGATGCTGAATTTTTGTTTTCTGAAAAAATTTAGTTGTACATCTGCCCTTCATCACTGACGTGGCAAATGCTTATCTTCCAAGAGTGCAGTCCCCTAATAAAACCTAGTCGGACATGTTTTATTTGGTGAAAATATTAATAAAGTTTGTCTCTTGAATACATATTTTGATTGAATTTTGCTACTGTAGGTTCTGTTTTACCTATCCATGCTGAAAGTGACTCATTTCCTTTTCAGACCTCTTAGTCTAATTTCCTGTGTCGCCTCGAACGTGAGTGTGCAGACCTCTGCTCCTGCCCGAGTTCCCGAGACATTTCCGCAGTCGCTGCTTCAACTGGGAAGTACAATTGTGTTCCTTTTCATTGCTTGCCTGCGTATATTGTTGCCTGTTTATAGTTTACAAAATTATTTTGCTTCCTACTAATACAGGAGTTAGATTCAAATATTCTGTTTAGCTCTGACTTTTTTTCCAGTACTACCTTTTGTACCGTTCCTCAACGCATCTTCAGACGCATCGTAAGAGTTGCCTCTTACTTTGTGCATTTATCTGCATCAGTGAGTCGCTAAGTTGGTTCACAGTTGACCTGAGTGAAGATCTAGGAAACATCAAGATGTTTTAAATGACCGAGTGATGTCTTAGGCACTCTAATCTTTTAGATAGTGACCTATCACTGCTGAGGAGTGCTTGGAAGTGCTTTGTTGCCTTTGCTGAATGCAGTTATCTGGAGCAGATATGTGGATCCTCTGAACTGAACACTTAGTTATACATGATGATAAAACAGATGATAAAAACTAGATTCCACATAGTAACTTATCTTTGTAACAAATACTTGCCAGGAGCTCAAATACTATGATAGGGGACTTCTAATTAGAAACCTATTTTATTAATTATTCCAAATTAAAGTATCACAGTATTATCAGCACTTGGAAATTGACTTTGTCATTTTGTTTGCAGGAAAAAAAAAGTAGTTTACTAATAAAATTGTAGCAATATTGAGAAGTTTCTAAAGTACACTGAGTGCTCTATAGACAGTTACAGATTGCTTTATTTTTCTGGAAGTGTTTATATTCCTAAAACCTGCCAAACTCCACTAATGTGGCTTTATGGGCTCCTATTTATAAACACATGCCTATTTGTCAAGCAGAGAGGTGGAATTCACAAGGGTTTTATAAAGATGGCATTGTGGTGAGAAGAACTTGAGTTACCTATTATGAAAAATATCCTTCCTGACACCTAGAGGCGATCAGCAAAAATGCTAAAAAACCCACAAGCCAAACACGTCCAAAGAAGGTAAGGCAAATTCAACAAGCCGGTGATTTTTCCAACAAAGAAGATCTTATGCAAGATTTGGATTGGCATTACACTATAAAATAAGCAAAAATTACAGCACAGTGCAGCCACTCTTGTAAACCTTCCTGTATACATTGCATCTGTCTGTAGAAAATGAACAAGACATAAACTATGTTTGTATATATCACCTGCCATGAAATATTTTCTATGTTAATTCAGTCCATATATATATATATATATTTTAAATCATGTATTTATTCTAGATTGTGGGGTGCACCAACAAATATTATGCAGACCACATAAAAATTCTTTAAGTATACTCGATTACAAAAAAATCGGAGACATTAAAAATCAGCGTGAACCCATGAACTTGATGTTTATGGACCTATGCAAAACACGGTCTATGAAAGTCACTTTTTGAACAACTTTGTTCCACTGAAGTTTGGACTTGAGGACTTAAGAGAACTATTTCAAATCCAGGGCTTACAAAACTGCTTTTCACTAATGCACTCTCTAGCGAATGCACATCAGTTTGTATCAAGAACTGAAAATAATGAAGTACACTTCAGGAAAGTCCTTTTGGAACACGGCCGTTTTTACCTGAAAGTTATTCAATTAAATTATCCTGCTGCTTTTAAAGACGGCTTTATTAAACTGTGCTGGAGACAGTTTAATAGGTTTTCTAAGTAACTACATCCAATTTTTAAACTTTGTTTGTTGAAGGAGTATCATCAGCTGACTAAACCACTTTCTGATGCGATTTTAGTGATTAAAGAGGGAGCCTGCCGAGTTCCCCGAGCAAACCTCGGGCTGTACCGCGGAGGGTGCTGCTTCGCACCGGGGGCTCGACCCCTCTCTAACCGCCGGAGGCTCCGCGGGGCCGGCGCGGCCGGGAGCCAATTCCGTGGTGGGACGTGCCGCGGCCGGCAACGGTCCACAGCGCGAAGGCTCCGCTCCCCTCTTACCAAG